GTATCAACTGGACAGTTAGGACGCAGCTGGACGATCTGGACTTCGCAGATGATCTGGCTCTTCTATCTCACACGCAACAACAAATGCAAGAGAAGACGACCAGTGTAGCAGCAGCCTCTGTAGCAGTAGGTCTCAACATACATAAACGGAAAAGTAAGATTCTACGATACAGCACAACATGCGCCAACCTAATCACTCTTGATGGAGATGCCTTGAAGGACGTTAACACCTTTACATATCTGGGCAGCATCATCGACAACCAAGGTGGATCCGATGCAGATGTAAGGGCGCGGATTGGCAAAGCAAGGGCTGCATTTCTACATTTGAAAAATATCTGGAACTCCAAACAACTGTCAACCAAAACCAAAATCAGGATTTTCAATACAAATGTCAAGACAGTTCTACTGTATGGAGCGGAAACTTGGAGAACTACGAAAGGCATCATCCAGAGGATACAAGTGTTTATTAACAGCTGCCTACGCGAAATACTTCGGATTCGTTGGCCAGACACCATCAGCAACAACGTACTGTGGGAGAGAACAAACCAGATTCCAGTGGAGGAGGAAATGAGAAAGAAGCGGTGGCAGTGGATAGGACACACATTGCGGAAAGCACCTAACTGCGTCACGAGACAAGCCCTCACATAGAACCCTCAAGGCAAAAGGAAAAGAGGAAGGCCAAGGAATACAATACGCCGAGAAATAGAGAAAGATATGAGAGGAATGAACAAACATTGGACAGAAATGTAGAGGGGACCCCAGAACAAAGTTGGCTGGAGAAAACTTGTGGGCGGCCTGGGTGTGACAGCGGTAAGGTGTTTCCCTCGGACAACCAGCATCTGCAGCGGTGCTGCCTTCTCACAAGGAAGGAAGGGTTAGAAAAGGTCGGCCCTAAAAATGTCACACCTCCCCTAACTCACGGATTTCCGTCTCCTTGGGTAAGGGTGCCCACTAAGGGCCTTTAAGAACGGAGCTAATCCTCTAAATACCTTTCATAAAAAGGCCGTGCGTGACCGGCCTCAAGCAGTTGTCCCTTGGGCTCTGCGGTCACGCACCAACACTAGTATCTAAAATACTGGCCTCAATAATACTTCGAAGCTTAACGAAAGCTCGTGAAGAGCAGACTCGAGAAAACCAGGCTGGTTTTCGACCTGGACGTGGCTGTATAGACCACGTCTTCACACTCAGACAGGTCCTGGAACATAGACACACATTTAGGCGTCCTACAATAGTTGTTTTCCTAGACCTTAAGGCGGCATTTGACTCTGTTGATCGTAAGGTTCTGTGGCAGTGTCTGCCATTGAAAGGTGTACCAAATAAGTACATTAACCTCATACAAGCTCTCTACTCGAGCACCACTGGTCGAGTGAGAGCTTATGGCGAACTGTCACCGGAATTCTCTACATCAAGTGGTGTACGTCAGGGATGTCCACTTTCTCCATTCTTGTTTAATTTCATCATAGACATGCTCCTAGAAATAACCTTATCCTCGTCTGAATTTTCAGGAGTAGACCTTTTACCGGGTGGCTCGCTTATTGACTTAGAATATGCTGATGACATTGTCCTACTTGGTGAAGACGCTGACAAAATGCAGAGTCTTCTGACTACCCTAAGCAACAATGCAAGCATGTTCGGGATGCGGTTTTCCCCCTCGAAACGCAAAATGTTGCTTCAAGACTGGGTTGCATCGGCACCTGAACTAGTGATAGGGAGTGAAGTAGTCGAGCGAGCAGACCGCTTCACTTATCATGGTAGTCTCATCAGTGCCGATGGCCTGGTGACTGACGAAATCTCAGCACGGATACAGAAGGCTCGATTGACTTTTGCCAACCTGCGTCACTTATGGCGTAGGCGAGATATCCGTTTGCTGACTAAAGGACGAGTGTACTGCGCAGTGGTTCGCTCCGTCTTACTTTATGGCTGTGAAACATGGCCAGTCAGAGTAGAAGATATTCGTGGGTTACTGGTTTTCGATCATGTGTCTTCGAAGCATTGCTCGTATATCGTGGGACACCCGAGTGAGCAACGCTGTTATTAGGAATCGGGTGCTAGGTAAGAATGGCAGATCAATAGATGAAGTATTGAAACTTCACCAGTTGAGGTGGTTGGGACATGTGTTGCGTATGTCCAACCACCGACTGCCTCGTCGAGCCTTGTTTTGTAGTGTAGGAATAGGTTGGAAGAAAGTTAGGGGCGGCCAAACCAAAACATGGCGGAAATCCATGAAGTCATTGACTAGTGGACTGAGCCATGTCGGTAATTGTCGACTACCTGGCTGGGGTCCGCGAGATGGAAGTAATCGATGGTTAGAGACCTTGAATGACATGGCTCAAAATCGTTCGCAATGGAGCCGGTGCATTTATTCTTAAGTTCTCTCAAATACTAATCTTCTGGATTCTTCAACACCTCTAGTTTCGACTCTCTAAACTTTTCTCACTGAATCATACTTCTTGAATAGTATCTTCTAATCCTAACCTCTCCCATTACTTCTAATTCCCTTACTACCTCTTCTACTATTGGATTTGAATTGACGATTACTTCTCTGTGCTGATGTGGTATGGCAACATGAACTGATGTACTTATGTACAAAGTTCTACGTTGCATCTGACTGACTGACTGATAGTAAACATTTACGAAGTGTATACAACCTCTTGCGGGAAAAACTGAATCTCATAGAAGGCTTTACGTTTAGACAAATAACAAATCTTGCGTATTTTCTTCTAACATAAAATTTTTTAAATGAACGGACATGGGAAAAAACTCACCAAGCACGTTCTAACAGTACATCAGCATACTCATGCATTTGGGGGCGGAGTTCATCACAGAACTGTACCAACGGACGATAAGGATGGAAGACAACTAGTGAACAATCCTGAAAGTAAAATATCTAGAGAATTTCCTCAGAATTCTATCATGACAAAGATGCAAAAAACTAGAATTAATTTATGTAGAATGCAAACTGTGAAAAAGGCTTTCGTTACTATTTGATGCTTGCAATTAGTCATCGTTTTCATAAATCCAAGAAAACGTGTAATCTCTCCGGAAAACCATTTAGAACCTCCAGGACTACTGTACCCTATCAGCTAGAGCGTTACAGAATGATATCATATAGTTGGTGATCATATTTCAAACTATGTGATATAAGCTTGGACTCAAACATTTTTCTTCTTTACATGAGATATTACTGCACTGCGACAACGACTCTGGACTAAGTGACCGTGTTTATAATACCACTAGATTGCACCCTAGAACGATCAACTATGCACGAAATGAGCCACGTTATATCAGATGCTTGATTCATCACCGATATGAAGGATCAGTGTGATGCTAGGCAATACATTTGAATACAGTTTAATTTTAACAACAGAAAACCATCATCTCCAATTTTCCTAATATCACGAATTAATCAGAACAACAAGCTCCTTACCATTGCTTCAAGTAAAATAAATTCACATTCCAGTACATCCTGAGCACGATATGGATAACCGTAACCATCAGGAAAATAGATTAAATAATGACTATGAACTAGAATTGACCGAATTAGTAATTTGAGAAATAAGGGACTTACCCACATTACGACATGATGTCATTAGATTTTTTTGAGAGACTACACCAAATTCCTAAAGATGCAGAGATTTAGAGTGAACAAACCTACCTCAACTTTAGATGCTAAAAATAAACACGATGGGGCCATTAACCATGGATCAATGGTCTTAAATGAATTCCTTTATTGCTGCAGATAACATTCTCTTATATGTAACATACCGACTGTAAAATCTTTTGAAGTACACCAATGCGGTTGCAATTACCTGCTGACGAACTTCAACGCTCTTGCCAAATGCTTGAATGACTATATATATGTGTAAAAAAATTTTTTAACGAGAATGAACATTGATGATGATAGTATTAAAAATGTATGCGTGCGAAGACAGAACATACCATCAGTAAAGAAAAGCATTACTTTCTGATATTCCTCTTCACTACCAAGAATTTTCAAATCATTAGCTCTATGTATCATTACATCTTGACGATCCAATAGCCACTCTAAACTGTAATTTAAAGAATAAATATGATTAAGAGGGATAATATGACGCAAAAATGTAGCCAGATACGAATACAGCTTATTTCTCTTCTATATAGATAGCTTCTCCGTACAATCTCTTTTACGCTGTACAACCCGAAGACATGGTTGTTGAAGGCAATAAAGGTGTTAGTGTTTTCGTTAGCATTTTTCCCCAATACAATGTGAAAATATCGAGTGAAAACTATTGAAGTATATAAAAAAGTAACTTCGATTCAAACGAAAAGACATGAGTTATTTAATCTCGCCCTACTTGTTACCACTACTACTTAATTGAGTTGGACGGTTGAGTAGTATTGTTAGAGGGATATAGATGGAATAAAGCATACCTGCGTTAGCTGCGGGCTGATTGGCCAATTCCTATTCAATCAGCGCCTGATCGATACTTGGAGAGCATTCTAGAAAGATTCTCGTGTTGGTAGCTGCACACTGATTGGCTAAATCTAATCGATCGGCGCTAGTCGATCACGTGGATTAGATCCCAGAAGCTTCTCATGTAAAATCTATAAAGATACTAACGCTGTTTTTATTTCGCCTTCGCTTCGGCTTCTTACTTCCATTTAGCCTTGCTATTTGGAATATAATCTTTCCCTGTTCAAAAACTGTGTTTTGACTTAGGGACTCGTCGAGTGTATTGTTGTCAGAAAATACTAAGCAATAGGAATAGCTGGGTTTACTAAGAGAGATTCATAACAGTGACGACAGAGAAAAAGAAAAAAAATTCAAGATGCCCATATCAGATGACAAGCTCAACCGAATACTACAACAACAGCAAACACAATTAGATACAAAAATGCGGTTGTTGGAGACTCTGACTCAACAGCTGAACACCCACTGCTCGAGTTCACAGGTTACTTCAAGTACGTCTTTTGAAGTAGTTGCTAGCAGTATACCAGAATTCATCTATGATTCCGGAAGTGGAAATACTTTTCTCACGTGGTCCAAACGTTGGGAAGATACATTCGGATTATAATTCGATAAGCAAGACGACGCATGGAAGACTCGAATGCTGGTACGTACGGCTAATAGATTACAGCGAAGCTACAACCAGCAGTGCTTAAACAGTTGCTGTGGAGGCAATGATTATGTCCTCTGGTTCAGCATGCTTAACTCCAATTAATCGAGAGAGAGCGTCCGCTTGACCGATAGTATTTGTCGATTGATACTTGATATTGAAATCACAACCAAGGAGCATTGTTGCCCAGCGCTGTAATCTATTAGCCGTATAGACATGGATTCCTTTCTTAGAACCGAAGATTGCAATTAACAGTTTGTGACCTATCAGTAGCGTAAATGTACGACCATAGAGCATTTTATGAAATCTTTTGACAGCGAAAATAATTGAAAGAGCTTCCTTTTCGATTTGACTGTAGTCTGGCTCGTCTGGGGTGAGTTCCAGCAGCATGGGCAATTATCTTTTCTGATTTGTCCAGAAACACATGAAATACCACTGCTTCAACTCCATAACTAGGGGCGCCAGATGCAACAACAATTCCCAAGCTGAAATCGAAGCGTGTCAAAAGAAGCTTTGAGCTGAGCATCGATCTGACTCTATCTAAAGATGCTTGACATTCTGCTGACCACTGCCAGGTTTATCTTTTAATAGTAATTCATTCAAGGGACATCTCACACAATGCATTTCAGGCAGGAATGCGCTGTAATGACTGATTAACCCCAAGAAGGATCTTAATGAAGAGACATCAGCTGGTGCAGGCATCTTCTGAATGGCTTCGATGTTGGCCGGGTCTGGTTGGCAACCGTTCTTATCTAAGATGAAACCAAGGTATTAGATCGAATGCATAAAGAAGATACACTTTTCTTCACGTAGTTGGAAACCATACTCCAACACCCGGTTAAGAACTTGATGTAGTCGATCAGACAGTTCACTGTCAGTTGAGCCCATAACTATGATATCATCTTGATAAGCTGCTGTACCAGGTATACCTGTTAGCATCGTGTCCATTATTTTTTGAAAGATGGCCGGTGCGGTCTTGATGCCAAATGGTAGACGTGTGTATTGAAATAGCTCTCTTCATCTACTTCCACTTGCAGATAGGCATCGGAGAAGTCTATTTTCGCGAAACATGTCACACCATTAAGCTTGGCAAACAGAACTTCAGGAACTGACAACAGATGCTGATACATATCCAATACAGAATTTAAACCGGTTGAGAAATCGGCACATGTGCTTATAGTTCCATTAGCATTCTCAATCTCTACGATCGGTACGGCCCATGAAGAGTAGTTAACTGGTTGGATTACACCAGCCTGTTGCAAGCGACTAAGTTCCTGATCGACTAGCTCAAAAGCAGCATATGGTACAAGGCACAACATATTTTATCATCGCATCCCTGTTTACACTGTAGTTATTTCATTTTTACGATGAAAAACACGACTGGTTAAATAGCGACATTCATTATTATAACTAATTATACCAGCGAACGTTTTACCGAAAGTTTGTTTATTCGAATTTTCGTACCGCGCTTCCTCTCCTGGAGGCCGCCATCTTGGTTTCGGTGCTCTGTACCCTCGCTCGATTCTCTGGCACGTTTCGGTATTTTTACGATACCACGAAATACCCAGAAAATACACTTATTACATCTGATCAATCCTGTCTTCGTTTTTTCGATAAAAGAACTGGAATAGCGCTTGAGACCCGGACTTTGTAGACGTGTTAATAGTCTTCGACTCGAACATCTACATCTCCAACAACTACAGCTTATATAATCTAGAAGTAACTGTTAAAAGTAGCGTTGTCAGGTGGTAGGATATGTAACAAATCATATACAGATAATAAGAAGGAATGCGCTAGTTACTTAATGATGAAGAAAAAGTTGTATCTCATGAAGGAACAAAAAACAAGACTTACTAGTTTGAACTGCGCCAAAAACTTCGTGCCATAACACACCTTATAGAAGATTAAATCGCGATTAATATCTTCAATTCATGTTAAAAATCTTCCATCATAGAGCACCTAAAACGAAAATCTTCAAAATACTGACACTAAACTAAACATTTATACTAAAGCTTAAAATTCGAGACAAGGCATAAAAAACTGTTTGTTAAACTGAAGTTTAGCTACTTTGTTCTACACATTCAACGAATATCAAATACTGATATGATTTGAAAACTAAAAAGTACATTAACATAAATGTAATCAGTGGTTATCCGTTATATAGGTTCTACCCCTATGATCTAATGTAGTCTACGATTTTTGAGACTCAACTCGATCAAAACAAACATTAATGGAAAGTATAAAATACGATCGTTTTATACAAATAGTTGAAATAATAATTTAGGATATTTGTTACCATTTAATAATGTTAACTGGAAAAGACCAAGAACTTTTGTTTCGAAGTAAACTTGGTGTTTAGCGAAGTATACCAATTGATCCAATATTTCCCCCAACTGAAAAACAGTTAGGCAGTCATGTAAATGATGCCCACCCCGAAGCAGCTTCGAATTATATCCAAGACGCTGTCAAAACAGTAGTGATATCTGTCAGAAAGGTTAACCATAATGTTAGGAAGAATCAAATTTCAGTATCACCTACTGAACTGATAGATTGTCGGAAACTCTTGTCTGGCTCTGAATATGCGGAGAGAGGGCAGCTTAAAGACAGGTTGAAAAAAGCCTATGCAATGATCGCGAAAAGTGGTGGGTGGCGAAAGCAAAAGAGATCGAAGAATCAATGTGGGTAGGTAACAGTAGAC